TTATTAAGGCCTTTTTAAAGGTGACCTGATCAGGCATTGTTCCACCTTGACCTCGTTGGGTAAAAGTGCACCTAACACTACTACACCTTGTTGTGATATTTACAATTTATGGATTTTTTTTACTTCTTTCCTGTGCAACACTGATTTAAGCCTCTTGGGCAAGTTGTCTTTGTAAGTAAGAATTTGTCTCAACTGACTTGTCAAATAAATATCATATAGATGCATTAAACCATTGGTATATTCCCATAATCAGTATTAACAGTATTGCAAGTTAGGGACTAAGAACATCATCAGCCAGATGCAGGTGTGAAAACACAGGTTAAAGGTAATATGGATCATACAAAACCTCCCTATATGTCATAACTTGTCTACAGTTATGACTGTGATGTAATTAGCTTTTTAATATACTCTGTAACAAAGTGCATAAGAATAGACATATGCATATAATATAGACATATGCATACTGCAGTCAATGTAGAATTACAATACATTTACATAATGAACCTTAAAATCTTATTAAATTATCATTTTCATGGTTTTTAATACACTATGCTGATTTTACCAGTTGAATAAAAGAAAACAACAAATGATTAATCTTAGTAATTGTGCTTATCCAATAAAGTTAACATCGGCATTAAAGACATACAGGCCCTTGCAGTTTTCATGTTATTTAAAGCTTGCAGTCATGACATTTTGTAATAATTAGTATCTGTTATATACACAACCTACTCCACACATTTAGTGCTAAAATCAAAAAATAATATAAAAGAAAAACTGTGGTTGCATAAGTATGCATAACCTAAATTAATTTATGTACACAAAATTACCTTAATCCATGCAGCCTCTGCCCATACAATTACAGTGTTCTCATGAAAAACACTCATTTCTGAGGTTTCGCAGCTCATGAATTTCAAGGAAAGACTCAACCATGAAGACCATAGAGCTTTCAACACAACTCGGGGATAAAGCTGTATGAAGGCATAGATCAGGAGGACATAAAAACAAAGCCTCTTAATATCTCTTTGAGCAATCACTGTCAATCATTGAGAAGTGGAAGGCACATCAGGTTGTTCCTGACTGACAAGGAAGATACTGGTAAGGGATGCCATCTTGAGGCCAGCTGTGACTTTGAAAGAGTTAGAGTTCATTGGCTGTGTTGAAATAAAATATCCATAGGTCAACAATTTTACAGTTATGCTGCAAACAGGGCTCATATGTAACTGATGAAACTTCTCAAATCCTGCATGCGATTTGTAACACAGCACCTAACAGTACAACATGTGGCTTAAAAAAAAAGCAAGTGTCCTTAAATGGGCCAGCCAAATTCCTGACTAGAATCTTACTGAGCATCTGTGGAAAGACTTGAAAAAACTGCCATAAATGGTCCCCAAGTAACTTGAGAGAACTTGATATGATATACCAAAAAGAAAGGCCAAAAATTGCATCATGCCGGTGCACAAAGTTGCAACAGACTTACCCAAGAAGACTTGTCTGCAGTTGCTGCCAAATAGGCTCCTTCCAAATGTTGTGTTCACAGGTCTAAATACAACACATTTCAGGTTTTTTTTCCAATTCTTGCTGACATTTACTGGAAATTTATCTTACCCTTACAAGTCTTCAATTTGAGCATCTGAATAAAAACAGTTGAATCATATGCATGCATCATTTTGTAATTTTACAAAATGGGACACAATACTTAATACTTTAGCAAGGCACTGCAGCTGTTTTGCATAAATACTGCTGACCTGTGATTAATACCTGTGGTACTTTGAGCCAGATGCTATTTAGCTTCATCACTTCTCAAGTAAATGAAATGGTATGAAATGTGTTTCCCAAGCCCTTCGCTGAATTGCAGACTCTTGCTGAAGATTTGCCCTTGAGATTGTCTTCAGCAAGCCTTAGGGAACATTGTCTCAATTAGGAAAAATATAATTGATTTCTGACCATGTGGTAAGCATGCATAATTTGATGCCGAAATGTAAAAAGACTGAATATGGAATGACAAGATTGCTTGCCCTTGAATGTTTTAAGACACGCTGTCTCTTGCAGTCACAGGCGTGCAGTTTGATTCTGTGAGGAATTTAAGTCTCTTATATTCTTGATTTTTTTGCACTCTACAGTTATTGAATGTGGTTTACTGTACCCAGGAGTTTCTACAGAAGCCTATTTGCTAATAAAATTGATATGCTACTTAAGTACAAGCCAGCAGCTCTATCAAAATGCTTTCAGGCTTATTTTTGATTTATATTACCTTCATCTCATTAACCTAGAATAAGCATGCAGGTAATTTGTTACTCTCTTTTCTGAATGGTAGCAAAATGCTCATGAAACAAATGACAAAATACGATCTTCGTATAAACTGTTTTTAGGCAACAATCTTTCATCAAATAAAATGATGTGGATTCTTGTTTGTCAATAACCTCACTGATACTACATTTTTTTTTTATGTAAGGCTGCACATTGGACATTACTCACTGAGTTATCATGTACAATTTAAAAAGGAAAAGGCATATTCAGGCCAAACCCTTTTCGAGTTTAAATGTGTCTGTTAAAAGCATAATCCACACTTTTGACAAAATAAATCATACCTTAACAAACCACATAAAAATAAGGGGTAAAATAAATTATCATATGCTGCACAGTTCATAATCTAGAAGTTCACAATAGGATAGACAGTGCTAAGCCTGTATTTAGCAATACAAAGCAAGTTCAATTTTCAAATCACTGTCATTCCTAATCTTAATGAATGCTTTAAAACCACATAGATGCTGTAGTGCACACAAAAGCCTACCAATTTGAGATGCACAGCTCAAAACATTCAGCTGGTCAATTAAACCCATCAATTCTCTATGACAGAAGGTATTAACATTTTTTAAATTTGCATGAAACACTTTATCTTCCGCGAGCGCAATGAATGAGGGACACGACACAATTATTTATGACCCACTAAGAAAACTATCATTTATTTAGAAAAAAAGCTTACACTGGTAGAATACAGCAGATAAAAATTCCAAAAAAGTAGTTCTGAAACTTTTGTGACTACGTTTGCAGTACAAATCTCCTGTAGTTGTACAAGTCATTTATTTGCCTCATGAAGAAATCCAACTTTTTATACAATTCATTTAAAAACATTGTGACAAACACACGCACACAAAGATTTTGCAAGGGACATTTGAAATGAAAGTAACAGATAATCTGAATTTAATTACATGAAATGATTTTATTGTTGTATACATAATATACAAATAGAACATTGGTGTCGTTTCGAACAGCTACTCCTAAATATTTTCACAAACACGATTTAAAAGGAGGCAAAAAAATAAATAAAACTTGATCTAAATGAGGTAAATGCAGAGGTGGCAAATGCATTTTTAATGGCAATAAAGTAACTGACAAAGCCAAAATACATTTTTGTTTGCTGAGAAATTATACAATTGCAGGCAGATTTGCAGACAGCATGTGAGAATAATCAATACCTATTTGTCAATTACATTTTCTTGATGTGTGCAGCACATTGTGCTTATATTTAAAGGCAAACTTTCAGCCGTTTACTGAAATACACAGGAACAAAACAAATTATCAAGTTAAAACACTACAACTATGACATATCTGGGCTGGACAACCAAAATATTTATGCAGGCAGTAATTATTATATTTTAGATGGGTCCTCTGTTTGGACTGTGATCAATAGAAAAACAAAGCAAAAATAAAAAAAAGCTAATCCAATACATGTGTGTGTTACATAAAAGCATGTCTTCTTCAGACTGCGGCAGCCAACAGCAATAAAACATCTGCAAAACAAAATTGATCTGTGTCAAAAGATACTAATGTGCACAACACTGTTCAACCTCTTATAAAGCCATTATTCCATCTAAAACAGCCTAACTGTATTAAATATATTTTATCAAGCATTATGTCTCTAGTATTTTGTAGCCAGTTAACATTGTTCCTAGCAATGCAGCCATTTAAAAAACTGGGGTATGCAAAAAAAAATTCTCAATCTCAAACTCAAAAGTTTGAATCCTGACAGCTTCATATGTGCAAAAAAATACTTAATAAGCATTTACCAAAATACAAATAAAAACCTAAACATTTTTTTTCTGCAGTGGTTCAGCATCACAATTGTATTGCAAAGCTAACCAATGTATTCTACATGCAAATTATAATCCATTGCAATCAAAGGACGAAAAATAATTCTCCCTGCTGAAAATGAGCATAGAGGGATTTAAATCATGTATAAAAGCCTTTATCCATTCAAAAAGCTCTGTTCCTAAAATAAACAGGTTGTTATCTCAAAATCGGAATACTAAGCACTGTAACACAAAGAAACGATTGGCCACTGCATAATTTCCAACTCAACAATTAGTTATTTGTCAATTGTAATTACAGAGCATATTCTTCAGCATCAGTTGAGATAATTGTTAAAATTTCAGTCCTGTTCAATGGTTGTTCTCATCTGTAGTGCACATTGTATATGGAACATTTAGGCTTCTGATGTACAAAAATTATATTTGAAGTGCTCCCCAAATAAAGCAGTACAAGAAAAAACAAAAAACAGGTTATTGCATAATATTGTAGTGATGGCTAAACCCCCAAAATTAAGGCAGGCTGTCAGATCCCTTGTTCCCCCATCTAAAAGTGAACCTGCCCCTCCAGGCAAAAAAAAAATTAATAACAATTTCTGGAAACTCACAAGTAAGGAAATATGAAGTTACATGTTGACCTTAAGCATCTATCCCAAGTCAGACAATGGCAAAACATCGAAATGAAACAAAATTATCTTATTTTGTCAGGGTAGTAAACAGCCATGGAATGGTTTTCTGATGTATTTTGGCCTGTTAAAAATGTCTTTGGAGAATACCAAAGATAATTGGAGTTGTAGTAAAGCCAACTATCATTTCAGAGACAGCTCTGATGTACTGTCATTATAAGGACAGTACGCTGCTGTAGTCTGACCTTGCCCTAAATGTCTCCGAACATCTCCAGTATTGGAGAAGTACTCCCCCTCAAATTCTGCAACTTACTTTTGGTTGAAGCTACACGAAAGCACCACAGAGCTATAAGATTCTTGACTGTAAAAATAATCCATAAAATGCACTTCATGTTTATGTGCACTTTATGTAAGCACAATTATTTTTCTAAATATTTTGACACAAAATTTAGGTTACAAAACTGGTTACGACATAAAAGTGTGATGAAGGGAAAAAACTGACATTAACACATACATCATAAGTGCAACTTCAGGGCAATCTTACTGGTAAATAATTTATTGACCAATTTCTTGAACCAACAACTTATGAGTTCCCTAAAGACATCCAAAGGGATGATCCGACAGCAGCACAATGCAAGGCCACACAGCGCTGGGATTAAAGTGCAAAAATTACACAAAAGCAATACTGAAGTCTCTTTGTGGCTTTTTCACTTGACCTGAGTCCCAGAACATCTGTGAGACTAATTTGCCAATTCCACCAACAGGAGACAAATGCAAATGGCAAAATTCTACAACTGGCTGCAGGGAGAGTGTCTAAACATCCCACAGCAGTCTATCATGGTGCTCATCACGTCAATATGTCAATTCTGCTAGAACTGTGTAAATTCCCAGGGAGATTATAACTTTGCAATGTTTTTTATTTTGTTGGTGTGGCAAGTTTCATACTAAAATTGTATCATAATGCTTTCATCTGTATATCTGTTTGAAACAAATGCTTAAAATATTTGATTAAAACCAGTGGACATGAGTGTTGTTTTTTTGTATGTCAGTATGTTATACAATATGTGAAGGCACCCATCAGATTACCTACATGCAGTTTTGAATGTGAAGTAAGCACTACTATAAAACATCGGAATAAATTAACAGTTACAGTAAAACATACACCTAGAAAAGATCCGTTCAGCAATAACAAAACTGTTATTACTGCAAAAAACATAAATAACAACATGATGAGACAGTAACTTAAAAAATACTAATATGATAATTCTTTATATAACACTTTTTGTTATGCTGAGTAGCAATAAGCTCTAAGATTATGTCTTACCTTGGCTGCATCAACATACATTATCTATGTTTGTCTGACGATTTATGAGTATCAATGTTAAGGGAAAAAATCAAATACAGTGCCTTGCAAAAGTATTCAGACCCTTGACCAATTCTCTCATTTTACTGAATTACAAATCCTATATTGAAATTTAGTTCAATGTAGGATTTGTATTTCTAAGCACTGAAACTCAAAATTAATTATTTTAATGTGACAATGTTTTATGTTAGCAAATATTCTTAAGAAAAAAAATGAAATATACTGTTTGCATAAATATTCAATCCCTGTGTTGCAGAAGCTCTAAGTTTACACAGGTGAAAAACAATTGCCTCACAATTGGCCTCTACCTGTGAATCATTACAATAACTGCCACATTTTCTGGATAAAAACCCCACAGTTAAGGGATCATGATCCAGGTTGTGAATCTGAAGGACTGCTGTGAAAATGAAGACTAACGAGCGTTCCAAAGAAATTAGAGATGAAGTAAAACAAATGCATAAATTAGGAAAAGGGTACAAAACAATATCCAAGTGTTTGGATGTCCCAGTGGGCACTGTTGGTGCAATTATCAGGAAGTGGAAGCTACATCAAACCACCCAGACACTGCCTAGAAAAGGTCATCCCTCAAATCTCTTGGTGCGAACAAGGAGACTTGTGAGAGAAGCCACAGACAGGCCAACGATCACTTTAAAGGAGCTACAGTAGCTCAGAGCGGAGTAAAGGGGTACCAGTCAACCATAGAAAGAGCTCTGCATAACACTGTCCTGTATGGGAGAGTGGCACAAAAGAAGCCATTACTCAAAAAGAAGCACGTGAAAGCACATCTGCAGTTTGCCAAAAAGCATGATAGTGACCCAGTTGCGATGTGGGAAATGATTTTGTGGTCAGATGAGACCAAGACAGAGCTTTTTACCAAAAATTCAAAGCGATTTGTGTGGCGCAAATCTAACACTACCCACACCTCAAAAAACGCCATACCTACAGTGAAGTATGGTGGTGGTAGCATCATGCTTTGCGGCTACTTTTCATCAGCAGGGACTGGGCATCTTGTTAAAATAGAAGGAAGAAGGGATGGTGCAAAACACAGGGAAATACTGCAATACTGGTTCAGTCTGCTAAAAAACTGACGCTTGGGAGAAAGTTAATCTTTCAGCAGGACAATGAACCCAAACACAAGGCCAGAGAAACATTGGAGTGGCTCAAAAACAAAAAGGTGAATGTCCCACAGTGGCCCAGTCAAGGCCCTGATCTCAATTCAATTGAGAATTTGTGCCACTATCTGAAAAGTGCGGTGCACAAGCATCATCCGACTAACCTAAACAACCTGGAGCAAATCTGCCTGGAAGAATGGGCCAAAATCACTCCTGAACAGTGTGCAAAGCCGATACATAATTTTCCCAAAAGACTTAAAGCTGTTATTGCTGCAAAAGGTGGCTCTACAAAATATCCAAATGTGGGGATTGAATACTGAAAGCATATCACAGTTTTTTATTTTTCTTAAGAATATTTTCTAACATAGAACAATGTCACGTTAAAATAATTTTTAGTTTCAGTGCTTTGAAATAAAAATAACAGCAGAAAACAAAATTTCAATGTAGGATTTGTAATTCAGTAAAATGAAGAGAATTGGTCAAGGGTCTGAATACTTCTGCAAGGCACTGTATATTCAAGCAACATCTAGAGTCAGTTTTCTGATTTTCAAATGTCATATACAAAAGCAGTTTTTAACTCTGAATATGCTGTTTTGAAACAAGTTAAATGAGCTAGAAAACCTTCAATGAAAAAAGGTAGCAGAGCTTAACTGAACATATCAAAATCTGCAACACCTTTGTATTACCTCTTCAAAACTCTAAAGCATTGAAAAGACTTCAGTGGTTTAATACAAAAAAACCCACAAAATAAACTAGAACTGCACTCCAATACTCCAATAATAAAGATAAGATATCAGGCTAAAATGTAATTTAAAAGTTACTGAGCTGAATCACACCACTGCCTCCAAGTCATCTGGGAAAGACCAAATTCTGCTTAGAAATTACATTCTTCTGTAAATGCCCAAATGCCCATTTTTCAGGCTGTTATGAGCTAGAATTAAGCATGGGTCCTTGTGTTTCTGCGTGTACAAGATATAATGTAGAAACAAATTAATTTTCATGCAATACTCCTAAGCATTTGAGAGCCATTAATCAAATATCAGAATACCGCTCACTTAAAATGTGATAATGGAAATGGAATGTATTGGTTGAAGCTGCAATATTTTCAAGATCCAGACTTTAAGAGTAAAACTATTTACTTTACATTTTTTATTTGCTCCCTTTTGGTAGGATTGCACTTCTTCAATATAGGCTCATCATATTACATAGAAAGTGATAAATGGATCACGGCAATACCTCTCAGGCTTTCCATAAGCCAAACATTTGATATACATTTTGATGCATCAGCATTGGAAAGGATATTGTTTTTTGTCTTCTTTTGCCCCAGTGCTGTCCCTCTTCTCTTTCTTTTCAGATTTTTCCTTATCATGCCTGGATTCCTTAAAAAAAAAAGAACACAGCAAGGCTTCACTATCTCAACCATATAGGAGGGCAACAACAATGAATACAAGGGGACCTGACTGACCTCAAACACTGGGCTGCTTTGGTCAGTCGGCTTTGAAAAAGTACAAAACACCCTAGAAGGCAAGTGTCTGATGCACTTAAGAAATGGGAGCTCACGTTACGTGGGGCTCTACCAGGAAGCACTTGAATTTGGCAGGCTTGGATGAAAGCAAGTTAAACTCTGTTCAAAGTCCAAATGAAAGCATTTCGGGGCTATGCTATGTCATTAGCCCACTGTGACCAAGATTCCTCACACAGCAGTGTACAACTGAACAAATGTTATGTTAACCTGGGCTTGATTGCTTCTAAGGAACCCATGGAACAATTCTGACATACTGGCATGTTGTGAATACTGGGTGCACAGGTGCTCATTCAGCTCATGGGGCATATGGGTTGCGGCAATGAGCTGGGTTCATTAATCACTTTGGAGATTCCAAACTGGAACATTATATAGTAAAAAAAAAAACATTTCAAAACATACATTAGGTCCCCTACACCTGGATGTAGAGAAAATAAGTGATCCATATTAATTGGATTCTTCTCACTTTTTCTTGCAATTCAAGAAAATACTGAAGTTTAATTAAAGTGCTAATGAACTTATGTAAAAAGAAAAGAAATATCCTTATGTTATTTACTGATTTAAATAGGTAAGAATTTACTTTAAGCAGGTCTATGGGATATTCTTTTTAGATGCAAAAATGTTAGGATTAAATATATACTATAGTCTCCTTGCTTGTTTGTTTGTTTTCCATGTAAAACAGAACTGAGCTGAAAGCAGCAAGAGCTGTGTGGATCTATTATTAAAAATGATTTAGATTTGGGTTCTGTCACCACAAAAGAACAAACATACCTTCTTGCCCCCAGAAGAACTTTTTTCAGGTTTAATTAAATCACTTTTTTCTTTGCTGGAAGGTTTGGAGCTCTTGCTTTTGTCCTTCTCCTTCTCGCTGGAACGTGGAGAATCGGATGGGCTGGCACTCTTGCTGTGTTTGGAGGAACCTGTGAAGTGAAGGCCGCATGACACAGCCGTGTCAGAAAGATAGCACGCAAGAGGAAACACAAATAAAGGAGCAGGGGCAAGGCTACTCAACTTTCAATGACAGAAAGAGCCTTCAGGCTCAGACAGCTCTAAAGCCCCCTTTGGCAAAATAATCAGCTCACCTGTTCCATTTTCATCTTTTCGACGTTTTAATTCCTGACTCAATTCACGATCGCTGTTTGAGTGATCCTAAAAAAAAAATGAAATTGAATATCAATGCCAGATTTACTTTTTCATTTTGAAATGTAATGTTGGTTGACATCGAATTGTATGTTTTATACATCACATTATATTCATTTTACTATGTATCCTTTTCTGTAAAGTATTCCTTTTAATAAATCATGAGACCTGTAAAATTATAGCACGGCTTTGTGCTCACAGCACACCCAGACAAAAAGACAACATATAATAAAAGTAACTGAACATAAAAATGTCTCATACTCCAAGATCAAAAATGTAAAATAAACTGGTATTTAAACCATCTTAAGTGCATTTTCCTAAATTTGTAGTATTTCACACTGAATCCTGAAAATAGAAACAAGATAGATTTGCTGGAATAACACTCACTATTTTACCAATTTAAAAAATACATTACAGTAAAAGATACACATGTTCTGAACATATGAAATACTGGATCTTTAGAAGATTAGGGAATTTCTCGATTTTGTTTTACAATTTCGTTGCAATTTATAGACTAAAAGTAAAATGTGAAGGCTGAAACGCTTAACAGACTGGGTGTTTTTGCCTCCTCCAGTTTTGACCACTCTAACAATACTTTATATTATTTGCCTTATTAGGTACAATAATGGAAATTATCTGTAAATTTATTGAAATTAAGTCAATGAAGTTAATTCTGTTGGGAGACCTGAACAAAGAGGAAACAAGAACAAAATGGAGATCTCTGAAGGGAGCTAGGGAATATAAGAACCAGCCTAAAATATTGCCACATCGCAAGATAATCCAGAAGAGAAACTTCTGGAGATCATGTTAGAGGAAAAACTTGCAAGAAGCATTTGCATGAAGTAAAATTACAAGAAAACGCAAGAACAAAAATCAAGTATAAAAACAGGCTTGATATCTCCACAAAGTACAGTACAACACACAGTGAACTGCCAATGCACAGATTCTATAGTGGACTTTTTGCTTTGTGGTGTACAGAATTTGTGTTTCATTCCACATTAAAAGCCGATATCTAGTTCTTTTTCTATTTTTAATAAACAGATTACATAAGCTTCTGAACAACGTAAAGGTGAGATCTTGTGGATGAGGAAATAATTTGTTTGATTTTACCACCTCAGAGCACCAGCAACACTTGTGATTCAATCCAAAATATTTTAACGGCTATTATGTTTTAATGAGGAGGGATCCTGAAAATTCACCTCCATCAAACTCTTAGTTTGCGGTTTTTATTAAAAACCTTAAACTGTTAAAATATATACCATTTTATTTTTTCTGTTATTCATTTTAATTGATGAAAGCCCTGAGAAAAAGATGATCAAGTATTATATTATCTGAAGAGGACATTATTCAATTCAGCTGTTACCTTTTTGATATAAAATAAGGTTAAACCTCAACAGAAATGAGCACCTCACATCAGTCAATTTAACTCTATCAAATCCAAACTTTCTCTTCGAAAACTGTCATTTGGTTTTTGTTCTCCAGTATCTGTTTTACAGTTACTTACTCTTTTTCTCTCCTTGCGATCTTTTTCTTCTTTCTTTTCTCTTTCTTTTGAGCGATCCCTGGATTTCTCCATTTCTTTCTTATCCATCTCCCTCTCTTTGCTCTTGGATTGTGTGGCTGTGCTGTGGTTGGCGTAGTGCTGGTAAAATTAAGGGACACACACTTTAAATCACAACAGGCAAGTGCAATGGTCAAGCATGTCCATAACATCATGCGAGAAATCATCACATTTCTGTGTTGCTTCAATACCACACATTATCAGCCACTGCACATTTGTAAACAACTACCAACCACAGAAGCACCTTTACAACCAACCTTGTACAAACTAGTTACACAACATGTGTTCAATTTTGGGGAGCAGATGTCTTATTTAAAATGGGGTGCAATAGAACCCCGTGCATTCAGAGAGCACCAACCATAAAATACTTATACAGTACCAGGTAATTCCATCTACAGGCCTCGTAGCCTCAAATCCTCAAAAACAAGTGAGGAAATAACTTTCCAGATATGCACAGGAACTCACAGAAATAGCTGCTCAAGACAAAATGTATTGTAATACATTGCCAGGCCTACCAAACCCATTGGAGGATTATGGCATATACAAAAACCTCCTCATGCAGAGATAGTAGCATTGAAGTAGCGGAATAATTAGGAAACACATCCAAGTTTGCAATATAATAATTTGCAGAGCACTACTAGACTTTGTCTCTTGATCTTGAAACAGAAAAGAACAACTTTATCGACTTGCACGGCTTAAACAGGAAAAATTAGTCTGAAGGTTTCAATATAAATATCAACTGCGGAAACAATAGAAAAGATGCAGCGTGAACAGGATACTTCAAAATGTTACTGCATCACGCAAAGAAGTGTGCACAGAATATTAAAGGCATCAGGGAAACTAAGACAAGCAGACTACAAGAGAGAGGAAAAGCCGCATACATTTAAATCATTGCAGTATAGCAGACTAATGGAATCCTTTCTCAGAAAAGGTGTCATGCTAAACGCAGTAAAGCAGAAACCGCAACAGTGTCAAAATCTGGAATAAATTACACTGATCTATTTATTAACTGGTTACTCACCTAAAACAGATATAATAAGGCTGTGAGAACATGATAACCTCTCAAAAACAGAGAAAGGTACTGTACACAATATTAATATATATATATAGGTATATCAAGAATGCAGCTGTTTAAATTTCTCAACCTAACGCTGTGTACCACCTATCAAATGAATAAATATTTCAAACCAACAGTGAACATACAAAGCAACAACAAAACTCACAACAGCATATGTCTTCAATCAAAACACACTGGCAAAAGAAAGGCTTCCACCACATAGAAAGCGTTTTAAGATTTCTGTGTGCATTAAATCATTTGATTTGTGCAACTCCAAGCTCTATAACAGTAACAAATTTTAAAAAGGGCTTACCTAATGATTCGTGACACACCTAAAATATCAGTTTCTCTGCACTTTCTGCAGCAGTCAGCCACAGATAGCTGCATGAATTTGTGACCATATTACAAATCAAACAGGGGAAGCCAGAGGCTTATACTGCTGTATTTCTAATAGAAATACAATAGAGATACTTAGGTGAAAGATGATTAAGAAACAAAACTATTTTCTCTCCAGTCTACAGCAACTACATGTACTCTTCCAAAAATATTTTTTGACATTACGGCATAACAAATAACATTACTGATTTGCAACTGCAAATAGAATTTGATTAACAATCAGATTGAAAAAGTCACCACAAAAAAATACAAACAGCATATTCTGTAAAACTTCTACTATTTTCATCAATAGGTAAACAGTGCTGCATATAACTTTGCTTTTTCATGGTTGTAGCGAAGAAGAAAACATTGGCTGTCCTTTATGATCTACATATAATTTTAAATTAAATTATAGTTTATTTAAATAAAGTCATGTCAAAATCATGGAACAAAATGGAGCACAAAAACATAATAACTACATGTAAGCAGAGGAGGTATCAAGCATCAAAACCTGCTGAGTATTTCCATCTGCAAGAAGCCTGTAAACCACTGCTGAATCTCCTGATGCAAAAGGAATACACAAAAGAATAGTAGGTTTTACCATCAGAACTCTAAAAGACATTAAATTAAACAAAGAGCAATGGACAAAGAACCTACTTTCACAAGTTTAAAATATTCTGATAGCTGTTCTAATTGATGAAGATGACTGAATGAAATGTTCCATTAGCCATATTAAGTGTTTCAATATGTCATTCCTGCATTGTATTCATCCATTTCTTGCAATAATTATCATTTTCTTCGCTTAAGACCAATGATACTATTATTTCATAGTGGCATTCCTTTTGACCAAATCATACAAATTATTCAAATGAACATCATACAATTCATACAACACAAAAGGTTTAAATCACACAACAATGAGAGATTTACATCAGCTTATAACAGGGTACAAAGGATTGTAGGTGTCTGGAAAAAAAACAGCTATGTTGCTTATGGCTTAATTCCAGGGAGCTTTCAGTACTGTATAAGATCCTCAGATCAATGAGCTAATAGTATCCAAAGTTCTAGAAACCTTAATTGTTCATTTACTCTTTTAAAAAATTGCATGCTAAGCATATGAATGACAAGTCTTAACGAGTACACAAAATCAAAAACTTCACCTACAATCATGACAAATGCAAGTGTTTAACAATGAACTGATTTCACCAGAACTGTGGCAATAGATAAAACAAATTCAGATCGCAAGACCCTGCAACGAATTCTGGAAACAGCTAAAAAGATCACTGGAGTCTCCCTCCCTTCCATTTCTATCACCTATCACAAATGCTGCTTACACAGGGCCTCCAGTATAGTAGATGACCCCTCCCATAAACTCTTTGTCCTCCAACCATCTGGGAAAAGATATCGCAGTGTACAGGCTAGCTCCACCAGACTTCCTGCAGGCTGTGAGGCTCCTCAACACCCTGGAATCTACTGGTACCCACTCCAATTCCTGAAACAGGGTTTAAATCCCCCCAGTGTGTTGTGTATATTGTATTATGTATTTGCTTTGTAATTTGCATTATGTGCACTTTGCACTATGTGTATCCTGTCTCAATTGTCAATGTAATTGTCCTGTCTGCCCTGCCTGTATTTCCACTGTGGACCAGGAGGAACGATATTTCATTCCACTGTATACTTGGCTGGAGTGACAAATAAACTTGAACTTGAAATTCTGGCAGTTCTTAGCATGCACTGTAGATGAGGCTCTGGTAAATACTGAGGACTAAACCGAATGTACAACAGGTCATAATGTATCCAATCAAAGGCATGACATTTCAGATTCACCTATTAAATATACGAGAGGACAGTCAAATTCTGAACAAAACTGAATTTATATTACAAAATACTTTGCATCTCAAGAGACCCTACAATAAACTTTAAAGGCCCACTACCCAACAAACTGAGATAAGCTTGCTTTGTAGACATTTTTATGTATTAAAAATAAGGCCAAATCAACCTAGGTGTTAAAGCCTGAAGCATCCGTGGTGTGAGACATAATAAAAAGAAGCAGGCCACGGGAAAAAAACAAAAAGGCTTCAATTTAAAAAAAAAAGCTACAAACATCAAAACAAATTTCATGAAAGAAAGCAACAGAAACATGCTCCGAATATTATATAATAAAATAGTTCCACTCATTTGTTAGTCTTTAGAATTAACACGCACTGAAGTTAATTTGCTACCGAGTTTTGTTTAAGCTGACACTGGCTACAGCACACAGAGCTGCCTACATTCTGACAGCGTGCTAACAAAACATCAGAAAGGAGAGATAACTCCTAGGATCATTTCCCTTCTGCAATAAAAAACATAAAAAATAGAAAATAGGCAAGCTCATTAGAGGGAAAAAAAAACACGAGCTGAGAAACATTCTTTGCTGAGTGCTTTGAAAAAATGTATTATATTGTATCCATATTTTCTACTGCCTAATTAGGCCTCTAAAGGCTTTAGAATAATTGTTTTTGTTGCCTAGGTATGTAAAACTACCTTCAGGCTCCTGGGGGCATTAATCACAGGATCTAACCAGATCTACAGAATTGTACAACAGAAACGTAAAACATACTGGCAAAACTGTGTTTCCCCTTACCAACCATCAACTCTAATGGCACCTTCGACAGAAATGTAAAAAAGCCAACATCAAAAGGAGGAAAAACAAAATAATAATGCATACATCAAATTAGATACCCATGGCTCTTATGTTGAATCCATGCCTTTTGAGAATACTTTGGCCTGTGTTCTCCAAATTTGGCTTCTGGGCTCTCTTTCTTTGTGCACTAGGTTTAGAAAGAACAAATGGTAATGGTTTCTTTCTGCCTGGCAGCAAAAGTGCACTGGAAAAAATTAGATAACTACAGTAGCACCCAATGCAATTCCATACCAATCATCTTCATGACAAATGTAACAGCCTTAATGTACACGTTACGTAAGAACTAATGCAAAGATACTTTTTTTTAATAAGCTCGTTTGTGAAAAACATGCAATGCTGGGGCAGCACGGGCTTCATTAAGCTCTGCTACATTAATTTGCAAAAAGATACTAGAGTCAAAGATGCATCCCAAAATAATCTTGGGTGCCTAGCGGAGGAGATCTGCTACTACAGCTGCCTAGAGCACTCCTGAGCAGTTACAAAGAAAAATGAGCTGGCACCACTAAAACAAACTAGGTAGACTGAATGGTCTTCCTCTGTTTGTGACATTTATGTGCTTAAGGACCAATAACACAAACAGCACAGGAAAAGCAATTACAGAAAAGCAAGAGTTGAGTTTCTGTGAAGACGTCTCTTGCTTCATATTTTTTTGTTCTCACTGGAGTGGCAAAAGGGTATGAAAATGAAATAAAGGGGCTATGTAAAGTCACCCCAATCAGTATTTATGTTCATAATGAGGAACAATTTACTTTTTTACATGGTAAAATGCCAAATAAATGCTGCTTCCATGTGTGGGTTGATAGCTACCCTGTTATCTTTAGTCTGGGGGCCCAAAGGACATATGAGGAAAATAATCTTGCATGAGTGAGAGATTTGAGGATGCTTACAAATTCATTTCTCTTTGCTTTTGTGTAGGTTGCAGAAAGAGGGAGTGTGCAATTTGTATGAGATATTTCAAAGAAGAGA